AATGGCTAGGGCTATATTTGCAATGAGCGTGCTTTGGGCTCTGTGGAGCCTCTCCTCTTAATTCCACTAGATGTCACTCTCTCATAAACGGCTTCTGTTCTACATTGTAATCAGTCTGACGGCAATAATTCTAACATGGTTCTTTTTATTATGAATCTTAAACAATAATCCTAAAACAATGTGCAATTATAATTTATTTGTTCTAATGTTTTCTCCTCCAAGACTTTACCATTCTGAGAATGTTGAGAATATTAATCTGATAAGTGGTAAATCGAGTATTAGATTTGGCTACTGCTGATTTAAAATAAAAAAACTCTTGATGACAGTGACATTGGTAATTCTGCTCATTGTATATCACAAGATTTCCCACTTAGATTCAGAAGCATTTTAGTAATAAAATATGTCATCAGACTCACAGCAGTAGGTTTGGTATACGTGGTGGTTTGTAATACCAGCTAAACGGTAATATTGGAAATCTGATATGTCATTGCTGACAAACCATTTCAGTTTATTCTTTATACTGGCATATGTGGCAGGGAGCAAATGCTGTTTACATTGACCCCTGTCTACAAGAAATTTAAAAGTTCATTCTAAGCACCATAACCACTTAATCATCATTATTATTTACAAAATAAGGCCACAAGCTCACGAATAGTCCAAACCATTTCTAAAACTATTTGAGAGTGTATAAATTATAAATATTTGTTTTGGGGGAAATACATAGTTGCTTCACTGCAAATGCACCATAGCATCAGAATGCCATAATCTTTAAGAATGTAGTACTAGATAGCAAGGGGACCCTATGTGTGTAATTTACTTATTCACTGTTAATAAATGCTTAGGCCAGTAAGCGAGGCAATTTTGCTCAACTTTTAGATTTTTTTACAAGAATCAACAATAATTCAGAAATTGTACTGTTTATGATTACAGTGTGACTTATATTTTCATTAAGATTGTATACATGAATGATATGTTTTAAATACAGTTATAGTAAAAAGATTTTCAGAGAATTAAATGAATTTTCACTAGAGGGCGATCTGTCTGCACTATTTCTCCTGAATTGACAGAGTAGCACAAGCGTCTACATTTCTCTCTAAAATGCATTGTGCACCAACAAACAATTTCAGACACTGGCTTCCAACATGTATAGACATCCAGGTGCCAAACTGCAAATGCTGGCACTGTAAAATAATTTAATTTCACTAGTTTAATCCATGATGTTTATCCCTTACAAGTTCAAGTTACTGAACTTTAGGATTCCAACAGGACCTAATAACATATTACACAAGGGTGGTAGGCCTTCTACTCTGTTGATAAATATTCCCTGTTTAACCCCTTAAGGACACATGACATGTGTGACATGTCATGATTCCATTTTATTCCAGAATTTTGGTCCTTAAGAGGTTAATGCTGGCTGGCTCTGCCGTAATGAACCATGACTGCTGGTAGGAAACCCCAAAACATCCTTCTTACCAGCCATAAATGCATAACTATACAACAGGGGAATCCAATCTTAGCCTTTCAACAGTTCGACTACATTTCCCAGAATTCCAACAATACCTAGAGAGCCAAGGTTGAAGGCCCACGCTATTTTAGTACAACGTTATTTATATTTTATGAAGCCTGATGTGGTACACCCATTGGCTTGCATATACATTAGCCTGGAAGGAAGTCAAACTATTGGCCATCAGTTGAGTACCACTCACCATGTCTTGCCTGCTAGGTCACCTTGCCAAACATTCAGGCACAAGTTATAGCAGTGTAACCCCTGCAGAGATGGACTAATGGTCAGTATATATGGTTGTCAGTCTGTACTGTAGCATTAATAAAGAATGTAGTGCCTGGTAGGGACCGATGATTATGTCTTTATTGCTTTAGGTACGCATGATACCACACTACTCTGCAAAATTTTCAGAATAGTATGGATTAAAGATTTTCTTTTGATTGTTTTCAATCGAAAAAATATCTTTGGTTGACCATGTGAAAGTGGTCAATAGTAAGTCATTTTAAAGTCGCAGTTGCTGTATTCCTTTTATTGCTAATTAAAGGGACTTTACATTCCATTGTGAATGGTTGCATCAATATGATTATTAGCCAATGTCTACCACCTTATCTTGCCTCAGGCTGCCTTCCTATGTGATGAGAACTGAAAAGGTCACCACCTTTTTTTTTAAATACTGTAAACAAAAGGCACTTCCTACCCGTGAGAACAAATAAACCCTATTCAGAATGTATGTCCTTGTTTTGAAAAGACAAGACGCTCCCATCAGAACCTGTTCACTGTTTAACTGATAGAGATATCCTAGCCAATGGGCCATGTCTAAACATTCTAAATAAGAATGTCAAGTTACAGCACTTCTACCCTCATAGACAAAGTGATTATATATTCTACTACTATAAATAAAAAAGCTCTACATACTATATATATTATAGCTAAGGCCCATCTGTGCAATAGATCTCCTGGGTTTATAAACTAAATAATAAATTGTGAAGAATTAACCAGGGCTTTGCATAATTGAAGTCAAAAGAGGCCAGCTGATGAAGTATCTGAGCTGTGTAATGTCTGGAGTAAAATTTGCTGTTCCCTTTATTCTCAGTAATTATTAATGTAGTTAATAAAACCCCACAGATTTCAAATGTTACATTTGTATCTGAACGATAATGATTTAAAAAAAAAAAAAATTACAAATGTTAAGAGAGATTTAATTGTAAAATGCTAATCAGCAGCAAGTGGAATATGAATAAGAGACTTGGGGGTTGTAGCAGGGTTTCTGATTAATATGTATTTCTGACATTTAATAAGAAGCAGAATGTTTGGTCCAATTCCAATTCAGAATAAGTCAAATCTGCTGTTGTCCTGAAGCAACAGTCAGAGGCATCCCCTTGGCAGCAGTTTTTCTGTAGACCCAGAGACATTTAATGAACCAATATTTTCAGTACAGCACAAGTTTATGGGCAGGGAATTATGGCTGCTATGTGATGCATGCTGTGAGTTAGCTTTATTAACCACTAAAATGCAGAATGCAATTCTGGTTTTATCTTTTTTGTATCTTTAGTTTGCCTTTCTTGTACATCAAGGTGATATGGTGAAAAACAATTAGTTGCACATTTCTTCTTAAAAAGCTTTCTGATCTACCATAGAGGACTTGATAAAGGCTTTTGCACTGTCCAGGCTCTCTGATCACTAAAATGAAAGAGATCACCTTTGCCTTACAAGCACAGGTTTCACAGCTGTGCTGAGAACATGCCCTAGCTTGTCAATCTGAAACTACAGAGCAATGAACACCAGTTTGTCCTGCTTTCTGAGCCTGGCTGGCTGTTAGAGATTTGTGTTCTATACATCAGGAAAAAAACCAGACATTTCATGACAGGGAGAAGCCCCCCTCCTACTTCCTTCTTCCCTCACCCTGGCTTCCTAGACAGCTTTACATGTCAAGTGATTTCACTGCTGTGGTTGTGATTAGACCCATAGAGGAAAAGGAAGGATCTTTTTGTGTACAATGTATCTATTCATTAAAAAAAATGAAGTCAGCAATGGTAGAGATCTGGGTGGCTGGTGTGGGTGCCAATTTTCCTTTTGTCTGCTGTGCCTTTAATGGGTTGAATTGTTTTTCGAAATTCATTCCAAAGGCAGCCCTGTACAGTAGAATCAGCTAGTGTTTCTGAATCTCTGGAGAAACAGATGTAAATGAATATTCTTGTACAGTGTCTGCCTTTGAATTTCTAGAAATGTGACATTGATTGACAGCTCCTCTATGCAGGAGGTTAAGGACTAGCTGGTGCTATTGTGTGCCACATGCTGCCTTGGCAGAGGGTACCGGTGGGTTTCCCATCACTGAGTAATGATACAGGCTATCCAGAAGGGTTACGTTCATTTTAAAGGGGTTTTGATGAGCTGTCATGTGGATGGCAAATGCCTGTATTATCCCAATTAAAATCAGTGCATCTGGTGTGCTACCTTATGGCAAGAAAGCAGTACAGAAATAAAATGACACGTATTTGAGGTGACAGGTGATGCCCAATGTCAAACATGTAGCCTCAATGAACAAAATCTGTATTCACTTACAAGGGAGCTCAGACCCCGTGACAGGTTTGAGCCATTGTGTGGGACAATAGATCTACCCCTTATTCAGGTTATCCTTCACCAGATTCTGCGATATATGGTATGATTCATTATCAATCACACATTCACAGCAGTGCAAGTATAACAAGGGCGTTATAAATGCACATTTTATTAACCCCTCCATGACAGATGGGATGCTGAGATATAGATAGATCGTCCTGAAGGGGTTAATGCATTTGTTAATATACAATGGTGTTGTTTTCTGGTGGTATCAGTGTTCGTAACAGAGTGTGTTGTGATGAATAATATGATATACCATGCATTTCTAGATGAGGGACCAGATTGAATGTCCTCTATCCATTTGTCATTTCTTTGTCATATTGCTACAAGGTAACCCATGAAATGCATTGCACTATTTATTATTATTTTATTATTTAAATATAGCGCCAGCGAATTCCTGGAGCCAATGTAAGAATTGTGATGAAGCCAGTTAGCTCCTTATCAGTGTGACAAGAAAAACCCCTGCGATGTGCCACCCTTGATATTAATTGCAGGTGCCTGATTCAGGGTCTCTGTATTAGTATTGCCAGCTATGCCTGATTCAGGGTCTCTGTACTGCCAGCTATGCCTTATTCAGGGTCTCTGTATTAACATTGCCAGCTATGCCTGATTCAGGGTCTCTGTATTAACATTGCCAGCTATGCCTGATTCAGGGTCTCTGTATTAACATTGCCAGCTATGCCTGATTCAGGGTCTCTGTATTAACATTGCCAGCTATGCCTGATTCAGGGTCTCTGTATTAGCATTGGCTGAGCTATCCCTGACTCAGGGTCTCTGTTTTAGCATTGCATGATTCAGGGTCTCTCTGTATTAGCATTATCTAAGCCTGCACTAGGGATATGCCCAGACAATGACCACAGAATCTAGCAGGAGGGAGGGGTGAGGGCATGTGCTAGGCTGCTCCATACGTCACGTGTGGGCGTGTCGGCGGTAGCTGATAAAAGGAGGTGGCTGCTCCGGGAGCCTGGCAGAGCTGTGTAAACCCAGCAGGGAGGAGTACGCAGAGGACTCATGGACATACTGAGGAATATAGCTTATCAGCCGGCTAGCGGGGGCAAGATGTGCGAGCAGACACTGGGCAGAGTCGTTGACAGCAGCAGGAGGTGGAGGGTCCCAGCTGAGGGCGACCATATCCACCACACCTGCCCTACCTCTGCCAGCGAGGTGTCCAGGATTATAACAGACCCCAGCACAGGAAAGAGATACTGCAGGGGCAGAGTGCTTGGCAAGGTAACCCACCGGGCATGACACATGGCACTGTCAGCTGCTGATAAGGCATTGCTGCTGGCACACTCTATGGGATGCATTGAAGCATTGCTCATCGGATGCAAAATTTGGATTTACAGACATTCTAAATGGAATCCAAGTCCTCTCTATTCTAGTAACATAAAATATTTATTTCCATATAATACCATGGTATTCCAATCACCCCCTCCCCATCTTGGATTATCTGGGCATCTCCATTGCTATTAAACTGGTACCTCTCACTGCATCTTCATACCCCATCCTCTCCCTGCCAGCAGTGATTACAGCCAAACACTATTATCAGTGGCTGGTGATGTCTAATTCTGAATGAAATTCACATTATATTGATTTATTGATCAGCAACAGGTTAATCTAAATGTGTTTTTCTATGCTGGTACTGTACATTTGCAGACACATAAGGAACATGTATTTTTTTATGGTTTCATTTACTACTTGATATTATTGTCTAATAAAAATACTCTAATTCTGCATCAGTCTAATTCATTCCACTAAAATAATAAATCACTGCATTTTATAATCCTCATGGGTTCTGCCTCAATGCATCATTCTACTTGATTTCTTTATGTTGTTTATTAAAAATTAAATAGACTTGTGAGAATATTGTTTTATTTGATTGCTAATACCTTTGTCCTTTGTGCATTGAGCCCTTTGCTTTCTCCCCCAGTCTGCCGAGGGGTTAAATGTACCAGATTTGCACTACAGATATATTGCATTATGTGTATTGCAATGTTTTAGTTTGATTGCTGTGGTTAATCCTTTAATCATTTTATACTTGCCACACTGCATTCACATAGGTTTTGTCATTGCCGTTTCTTCCAACCTTTGATTCATTATCATTGCTTTGTTTATAGGGTGGATTTGCAAAATGCTATGAAATGACAGATTTAACAACCAACAAAATCTATGCTGCTAAAATAATCCCTCACAGCAGAGTATCCAAACCACATCAGAGAGAAAAGGTAGGTACAATAAAACTTAATCACACATGTCTAGTTTATTTTTAGTGACAATAACTTTTTATGGAATTTATAATATATGTACTTAAAATTTTTTTAATTTTTTTTTAATTTGTAGATTGATAAAGAAATTGAATTACACCGGACCCTTAATCATAGACATGTTGTGCAGTTTTATCACTATTTTGAAGACAAAGAAAATATTTACATATTACTGGAATACTGCAGCAGACGGGTAAGCTTCTTGGATTGTTTTAATTGTCCCTCCTTGTTTCTAACGAAATCAGCCTCTCAGATTGATTTCTACGGTACCAAGAAATTCACGGTCACATCGCAACAATCCTTTCATTTGTCTTTGCAGTCAATGGCTCACATATTAAAGTCCAGGAAAGTATTGACGGATCCTGAAGTGCGCTACTACCTCAAGCAGATTGTGTCAGGGTTAAAATACCTACACGAGCAAGAAATCCTCCACAGAGACTTAAAATTAGGTAATCATTTTAACTATTTATTTTCTAACTATCCTTCATGTATTAGCAACATCCTGCATGTGTTAGACTGCAAGCTCTTTGGAAAATATATTTTTTTGTATCCTGAAAGAATCATTCATGTGATCTTGAGATCTATATATAATATTGTATTCAATAGGGAGATTAATTTGGTCAAGGCTCAATCTGGCTTATTGCAATTTCAGGCTTCTCTTCTATGAATTTTTTCATGTTATAGTAATGGTTTGCTTGTTTTTCTTTGTCTCTAGGAAATTTTTTTATAAATGAAAGTATGGAGTTAAAAGTGGGCGATTTTGGTCTGGCAGCCAGATTGGAACCTCTTGAACAAAGAAGAAGGTGGGTTTTTATTTTTTTATGAAGTCCACATGCTATAGCAGTCGATCCTCAAGGATCTTAACAATACGATTGGATTTTAATTTTTGGCTTTTCTTCTCCCCCAGAACTATTTGTGGCACACCAAATTACCTCTCTCCAGAAGTGCTTAATAAACAAGGACATGGATGTGAATCAGATATATGGGCATTAGGATGTGTAATGTAAGTGTCTCTTAAATGAAAATCGGCATACATTTCTAATTCTATTTATATAAAAAAAGAAGTAAACTAAATGTCTTTAATAAGACAATGCATTGATATCGATTTATAAAGATAAATTAAATAAATGGATAGTTGCTTATCATCACAAACCTCCATACTTAAAGAATACATTAATTTGAGAACGACATAGCCCGGAATGCATGTGGAGGGTATTTATTGTTTCTTAAAAATGCTTCAATGTGGGTAAAGCAATCACTGTTTTTAAGGTAGTGTGTATATATATATATACAGCCAGGCACACTAGACGTGGGTTATCCCTGTAACACAGTTTAGATAGGGTTAGGTATTTGGCCTATATTTCCAAATTGAACAAAGGGGTGGAGTAGCAATGCGTGTAACTTTCATTGTAGAACTATGCAACCTACATCAGACTAGTTAATTATATGAGAATGTATGCCTATATCTCTTAAATGCAGATGTTTAAGGATTATTTTTACTGGAATAATTACAGTGCAATAAAACGAGATTTGTCTTCTTTTCTTAAAGGTATACCATGTTACTTGGCAGACCACCCTTCGAAACAACAAATCTTAAAGAAACCTACAGATGTATCAGGGAGGCAAGATACTCCCTCCCATCGTCATTGATGTCTTCTGCAAAGCATCTCATCGCAAGCATGTTGTCAAGAAACCCAGAGGACAGGCCAAGCTTGGAAGAAATCATCCAACATGACTTTTTCTCGCAGGTATGTGAATGACATTGTCTTTATTATCTGTTTTTGTTTTTTGGGATTTTTAATTTTTTTTTTTTTGTGATGAATGCATAATTAGGTTATTAATTGGCTCTTTACTTTTTTCCATTTGCTTCAGGGCTTCACACCCGACAGACTTTCCTCCAGCTGCTGTCACACTGCACCTGATTTCCATTTGTCGAGCCCTGCCAAGAGTTTCTTTAAAAAGGCTGCTGCAGCTCTATTTGGTGGGAAGAAAGAAAAAGCAAAATACTTAGATAATCACAGTGAGTATCAAAAGGTTAATTGTTTACAATAAAATGATAGATGGAGCATACTCCTCCATACATTCTTCATAACACAGACGAATTCTAACAGGACTATGTTCTTTGCAGATAAGCTTCCAAAGGAAGATGAAGAAATTTACAAGCTGAGACAAGACTTGAAGAAAACCTCCATCTCTCATCAGCCTCAAAATCCCAGAACAGATGAGGTGAGTTGACTTTCCTGTAAATTGGCTGGGGTGCAAAGGGACTTGTATAGAAATTGGTATTTTATTTTTAGACCACTGCTGAATTTCATTCTTTTGTGTGACATATATGCAAATATAATTTTTATTTTTATTTTTTAGGACAGCAAAACTGTATCCAAATCAAGTGTTCTAGAAAAGAGTGACAAACAGCAGATGGGAGACATGATACGAATGATTGTCAGAGGAACCCTTGGAAGCTGTAGCAGCAGTAGTGAATGTAAGTATGTCACAAGACCAAAGAGGACCTTCTCTTGTTACCATGTTAGGTATTCTGTCGAGGGGCAGATCTTCTTGATAGTAATTTCTCATATATTCACCTCCAGGTCTTGAAGACAGCACCATGGGTAGTGTTGCTGATACTGTTGCACGTGTTCTTAGAGGTTGTTTAGAAAACATGCCAGATTCAGACTGTATTCCTAAAGAAGATATAAGCACATCATTCCATTGGGTGACAAAGTGGGTGGACTACTCCAATAAGTACGGCTTTGGTTACCAGTTGTCAGACCACACCGTCGGTGTCTTGTTTAATAATGGAGCACACATGAGCTTGCTACCTGACAAAAAGTAAGTGTTACAGACACTCTATAGCCTGCCTCTAACTGCTTGCCTACCATCCTTATGTCCCTACGTTTCTCTAATATATTGTTTTATTCTTCCTCTCCCATCATAGGACTGTGCACTACTATGCAGAACTGGGGCAGTGCTCAATATTCCCAACCACCGAGGCTCCGGAACAATTCATTAGTCAAGTTACAATTCTGAAATACTTTTCTCATTACATGGAAGAGAATCTTATGGATGTAAGTATCCCATTGATCTCATGCTAAAGAAAATATACTAAATTATATAATTTTTAAGTGTTATAGTCAATCTCTAAAAATCTTATTTCATAGAAATTGGGAGAAAAACATCTAGCGCACAATTCAGTCTTGTGATATGCTGACACTTTACATGTCCTGTTGTGCAATGATGTCCAACACCTATTCTTAGTCCATTCTAGATAAAATACCAGTCTGTGATTATTTGGTTAGATATGATATAGAATAGATTAGGATTTGGACCTTAATTTCATTTTCAAACAACTGTAATGGTGTAATGAATATCACAGTGGATAAACTAACATATTTTTATTTTATTTTTAAGGGAGGTGACTTACCAAGCGTGACAGATGTATGTAGACAAAGACTTTATCTTCTCCAGTGGTTGAAATCTGACAAAGCTCTCCTAATGCTTTTTAATGATGGCACATTTCAGGTATTTATCTTTACACGTCTGACCTAGATTTATCTAAATGAAACAGGGATGTTGTGTTCCTACGATTACATACTTTAATATATTAATTTATTTACCTTTTGCATTCCACAGGTGAATTTTTACCATGATCATACGAAGATCATAATTGCCAACCAAAGCGACGAATACTTATTAACCTATATAAACGAGGATAGGATGTCTACAACATTTCGTCTGAGCACTCTTCTTCTGTCTGGAGGTTCAAATGATCTAAAAAACAGAATGGAATATGCATTGAACATGTTGTTACAAAGATGCAATTGAGTTAGTTAAAAGCAATTGGATACAATCAAGACAGAACTGTCCTACACTGTGAGATCATATGTATGAGGCATTGGAACGTGCCGTGTTGGAAACGGGAGGTGGTACGAAAAGAAATTTCCTACGTGGTGCGCTGGGCTGGGACCAGACTGAGGCTCAATCAATCCTGCTTTGTTGGATTTTTTTTTTCTTTTTATGGATAAAGTTTGTCCTCTTGATTTTGGAAAATGTATGTAATAGGCTGCAAGCACATAAGCTTCACGGGTAGAAAAAGAACAAACTCTGACAAAGTGGGGTAGTTTTGCATTTAGCTCCATGGTGAGCATTTATATGGAGGATTTGTACTGTGAACATTTTTCCGATTCCTGGATGGATATGGCAAACCTAAAGGACAAAGAATGTTTTGAAAACTATGGAATCGCTGTGATCAATGCAGCTCGCGACTGCTTAACTGTGAACTATGGCCATATTTTTGTTTGTTTTGTTTAATACCCACATTTGTGGCTGGACAAGTGCATTCCTAGTTATTAAATAATTTATTACAGCCCAAAGTGATGTATTATTTATGAATTTTTTGGACTTTAATATTTTAAGTACCGGTATACGTTGTTGGCAATAAAGAAAAATGTAAAATGATTTGGTCTATTTCGATTTTATTATGCAACATACAGTCCGCATACACTACATCCCATTACCTGATCTATTTTTCAATTTGACCTCCACTACACATGACTTATGTTGGTATTTAATTTCCATGAGCCCTCATAAGTATTAAAAAATAAAAAATTAAATATAGGATAATGATGATTTTTACCAATCACACAGTGCCGTAAAAACGGCTTATATTATTAATACTACTTCTGCTTTAGGTTTTCAAATCACATTCCTGGCAACCAGTGTTTTAAATCACTAAACACAATCCTTTTCACTTTCTCTGAAGCCCAGGTATAATTTTATCATCTTCGATGCTGTCATCTTTTACATCTGTATGTGAACTGTCCTGGGATATATGTCTGGCCATACTAGATGATGGCAGATTACAGTAACTCATATTTGGCTTTTTAAAATTTTTTTAATTTTTTTTATTGAAAAGGGGTGGTGTAGAGTTTCTAACCTTCATCTGTCTGTAAAAGTGAAACACTTTGAAGTGTGTTAATGTTTTAACACACTTGTAAGGCTTCTAAACATACTTTTAAAGCTTTATAGAAATTATTACATCCGGTACCTGACAGTTTATTGGAATGCAATATAACCTGTTATTCTGAATTCTGAGCCAGTATAGAGCTCTGTCTTGACTTTTTTTTAAAAGGTGGGTATAGAAAACCACACAACATAAACTTTTTGTTTTATCATTTAATTAACGCTGGACAGTATTTTGATTATACAATAAGACAGGCTTCTTTTAAAGGCGCTATTTAAGAATGTTGCCTAAACCCAGCTTTAGTATAGGACATTCTAAATTCTTAATACACAGATACTTGAGTAGTAGAATTATATTTACTTATTTGTTGTAACATTCTCATTGATAACGTTACAGTGCAGCATTTTCTTTCAGAAAGGAGTTCGGAAGGATAAGCAAGGAAATTTGCAGAAATAGTGTCAAAACTGAACTTAATCAATAAACACAGAACATGAACACTTTAAGAAAGTACATTTAGCAAGTCATAGATCTCAAAAGATAAATCATTTTATTTTAATGATTTTATAACAGAGGAGGTGTAATAACATTACAAATTTATTCAGGGGTTTGTATAATCAATTCTCTTCTCTGTTAATTACTGAAACTGTGTGGTTGTGAATAGGTAATCAATTAAAACTTATGGAAAGGGGATTCCACCTGCCACGACGTAAAATTTTACAATTCTATTAAACACATGAACTTAACTGTCCTAATAGGTTGTACTATTACATGCAGCAGCCGGTAGACATATGCCAAATTTAGTTTCATCCATAAACAAATCGAATTGTCAAAATCATAAGCCTTTTCAATTTCTTTTACAACTACTTACAATTTTATTAAAATCTCATATTCCCTTTATAAATAAAGATTTAGTTAAAAAAAAAAACACACAAAAAAAAAAAACCTGCATGCTTTTCTGTAACATATCAAGAGCATATAATTATTTTGGACATTATTGTTATAACTTGGTAATCTAAGGAGAAACTGGTTGTCACTCATTGTGATTCTAAGGTTGATTGGGAATTTATAAATCGTTAAACATATGCCTTTCTTCGATTTGTATTTTTTTTCCCCCCTCAATTACCGCTCCATTCCCTTTATATTTTACCAATAGCTGCTTCTCTCTGTTAACTCTTTAGCCATCACTTCCTAATTCCCTGTGCTACCTCTTGTCTCAAATCCCCATGGTATCCTTTAGATTGTAAGATCACAGGCCATCTAGCTAAGCACTTTGTATAAAAGAGCTCCAATGGCTAGTTATCACCTTACGGGCAGGGCTCTCTCTACCTCTTGTATACGTCTGTGTATATTGTATGTTCTCCACTAATTGTACAGTGCTGCGGAATCTGTTGGCGCTTTATAAATACCAGTAATAAATAAATAAATCACAATACAAACAATGTCTTTTTTAAATGTTCTATCCAAGCCCCATATTAACCTGTGGTCACTGCATAAGTTATGATTTCATTATTTGTGTTCATTATAGTTAAGGAGTTGGAAAGGAAAGTCACTGTTTTTATAATACTAGCCTTGAAGCGGTTTCCCACCAGCCTATATAAGTATTTGTACATGAGGGAACGTTGCCAGCAACTTGTATTGACTCCCTCATAGGTATCTCTATTAAGAGGACCATAGATATTCTTAGCTGACATGGTTGCTTTATTCACATTTTTCATGAATGAGGCTGCTTTAGACTGATGATCTGCATGTACCATAAATATCTACTAGGATGTCCAGGATTGCGAGTACATTCTTGGCCACTTCCAAATCCCTGCAGAAACTACAGATTTGAAGCAAATAAAGGGTTGTAATGAGTATCTTTTGATATGTTCTGCTTTTTAAAATTCATTGTGTGTAATTATGTTGATTTCTCAAAAACAGAAACAAAAGGAATTTCTTAATTGCTTCTTATTTTATTCTCCACACACCGTCATGGCTATTAGCACATATTTAACATTGCCATCGATAGGGAGCAAAGTACTCTGCAGTGTACATAGCACACAATATAACGTTTCTTCTGTAGTCTAAAAATAGAAACGAACCAATTTAGCATTACATTGACAATATGATACTAACAGCCCATTAAATTGGGTGGAGTTGTAGTAAATCCCTTAATATGGATTTTCAAAGTTCTGACGAAAGTCAAAACTAGGCACACATTCACATCAAAGCATCCGATCTTCCAACAAAAACACCTGCACCACTACTTATGGACACTTAGATGATTTATATATTTCAAGAATCGCCATATACTTGCCAGAAAGACTGCAACTTGCAATCAGATAGAACAGACATTCACAAAATTAGACTAAAATGTGGCACCTAGACTTGGCTGCATGGGGAAGGAGAGAGGAGGAGTGTGTATTGCTTTAGTCTCGACAGATTTTGACATTTGAGGGAAGATACTGAGACCTGCTAAAACACGGGGTAATTTGCAACTCCATCTTTGTCAATGGAATAGCTTACTGTCTGTGGGTTCAACATATTTTTGAACAAATGGCCATATTATTCAGGTGATCAAGCTATTTTGCACCATATTAGAATCATCAAAGGTGCCAGAGACTCCTAAAAGAATGAAATTAGAGAATTGGGATAAAAATGTTATAAAAAGACCACCAAGGTAGCATTTTTTTCCACAATACATTTTTAATACATCTCCCCTTTACAAACACACAACTCCGCTACTACCCCTCAGCCCACCAAACACAGAAATACTTTATGCCCCCTCACATATAACAGCTTATATATACCTACACACACATTAAGCTGCACTCAAAACAACACACATACATACACCACAAACAGCCCCTAAACAAACAAAAACGCACCCTCCCCCCATGCAACCCCGCAATCGGCCACCTCCTCACATATGCAAGTCCATGTAGTGTCCTCCACACTCACAACTGCATATCCCAGATACCCACAAACACGTAGCACCACCTGCAACATCCCTAGAGACAGGCAATACAACAAACAGAGTCCCCCCAGTCTGGCCCTGGTGCACGGAGATAATGAAGGTTAAAGCACGGCGGAAGTGTTAAGTGTAAGAATATGGGTATTTGGAACACTTGGCTCATTTGAAATGCACCCCATCTCCGTCTCCCCTATTTTCCTATTGGTAGGCATCTCTGCTAAATGGTGAGTAAATCATTTAGCAGTGATGCAGTGCTTGGTGTCCACATACCACAGGCACTTTAAAGGGCCTTTTTTTTCAAAATTCATTATTTAGTAGATACACCCCCAATGTAAATATGCATGCATAGAATTAGGCATTTTTTCACTTTTGGTATATCAAAAAAAAGCTTGCAAAATTCTGCAGATCTCATAGCTGCCTTCCCAATGCAGCTCTACTGAACTAAACAAACCAGGCAGTAACAGGACTGGTTATCTGATTGACAGTCAGGGGGTTGTAATACGGTTATTTTATAAAAGTGCCAATTTCTATTAAATCTGCATGTTTTGTAAAATGACAAAAGAGGACACACTCTTTACACATAAAGCACTTTAGCAAACTGCATTATGGGTGCTTGGAGTGTTCCTTTAACCACTTAAATCCATTGAATTTGTTATGGTGCCTTCAGTGTCTCTTTAATGTTGGGTAATATAGATTGAAGCAGAGACTTATATTTGCATAACCTTGGTGAAAGGAGTTACGGGATTATGGCGGGTATATATTTTGTTAAAAACTGTTTTCCTCTAGCCTCTTTTACTTTTATACAGAAAATTATTATACAATTAAGTGGCTCTTCTACAGCAAATATAAAATTTCTAAGGGAAAGTATAATAAACAGGTCAAAAGCATCAGCATTGTCTACTTTGCTATATGTAAAACCAATTTAGTAAGTTGAGGTTGCAGACACGTGTGCTATATTTGAACTGGATATTCTGCACACACTGTTAAAAAGGTTTTTAACATCACAATGCAGTGAATGGAAATTCAACTCCAATGTCCTCCAATCAATACGTATAACCAGAAAGGAAATGTGCTTTTGTCAGTTGGGTAACCTTCACAAAAATGCATTAGCTAATCCATAAATGATGACGCTCCGAAAATAGATCAACATTAAAATGGGAGAAAACTCCAGCTGTCTTCGTGAATGAAGAATGCCCTTTCTCAGTCACATTGCTAAGCATTGTCATGCTGGAAGTACATCCAGCCAGGCTCACAGAATATAATTGTTCTATGAGACTCCTTGTTCTTAATGGCTACAATGCATTTTAAGGAGTTTATATGTAAAGAACAAATCAAGGTTTAGAGTTCTCAAAGGGGAGTTATCAACAAGAACATCCCAGTGAGTTACAACAACGAACAAGATGGTCCATACATTCTCATTACACTGATTACAAATAGAAATGTATCTGTGAAGTAGTTATGGTACCAGGAGTGTCTTGGAACCCCCTTTCGTAAGCAGTCAAACTGTTTTTAGAAACGTTTGACTGCTTACTAGCTGTCGCT